AAATGAATGGATGGATGGATGTTTACATCTGTACATTAGCAGCAGTACATTTACATCATTAAAGTGACAGTGACTGCGCTTATTGCACATTCTGATATTAATTAAGGGTATTGCAAAGCATGACACGTGAGATCAAGGTGGCTGTGTTCATTAGTCCTCATTGTTTGTTGTACAGTCTGACAGCAACAAGAAGGAAAGACCTGCAGAACCTCTCCTTCACACATCGAGGATTAATAAGTTTGTCACTGAAGCTGCTCTCTAGAGCAGACAGTGTCCTGCAGAGGGTGACAGTCATGGTCCAGCATAGATGTTAGTTTGTCCAGGACCCTCCTGTCCCCCACCTGCTGCACTGTGTCCAGGGAACAGCCCAGGACAGCGCTGGACTTCTTTGTTCAGCTTCTTCCTGTCCCTCTCTGTGATGCTGCTGCTCCAGCAGACCACACCGTACAAGATGGCTGATGCCACCACAGAGTCAATGAAGGGCTTTAGGAGTGGCCACTGCACTCCAATAGACCTGAGCTTCCTCAGCAGGTAGAGTCGGCTCTGGCCCTTCTTGAAGAGGGCGTCTCATTGTAAGCTGCTCTTCATCTGCTTCATACGACAAAGCTGGTTCATCTGAACCAGTTTCTGGTTCAGATGAATACCCAGTTACTTGTTATAAAGATAAATAAAATCAAAGCCGCAAGCGACGTTGAACGGCCCTCGCCTCACCGCTCAAAGGAGGTGGCGCCGCCTTTGCGCCCGTAGCCTTAGAAAAATGTGTTGTAATGAATATGATCAGTTGGTTTGGCTCCCCATGTGAAAATTTGGCTCAGAGCCAGTTTAATATTTCAGACCTTCAGGTGACCTAGGCCCAAGAGTAATGCTGTGTTCACACCAAAGACGTCCAAAGCGTCAGGTTTGCATTGAAAATACATGTTGGACGCGCCTCTGGGAGCGTCAAGAGATCCCGCGGCACGTCACGTGCCTCCCAAGCAGCGCGTCTTCAAGCGTTTCGCGCTGCGGATACGGCGCGTTTTGAGATTTCAAGCGTTTGACGCGCCTCCAACGCGGCTGATGCTAGAGTTGAACATTGTTGAACTTTTTGGACAAATTCGAGGGCGTTGACCAATAAGGAGTTTTCTCCAACAGTGACGTAGTGACAGAAATGGAGGAGGGTTAGTGAGGAGGTTGGTGTTTCAGGTAAGTTTTTTAAACTTTTCACATATAATATTACATACATATAATACTTCCCCGCGCAAAATCTGTAATGTTATATTTAGGGAGAAACAAACCCACAGATTAAATGTAAAACTACACAGAGCATACTATAGCTGCTGTCTCCATGGACTCTTTCCATGAAAACGTGACTGTTTGCTAACATGTGTTATCTGTATTAATATAAAATAGATTGTGTATATCATTTTTAATCCCATACTAAGACTGGGTATACTGTATATTTATTTACATTTACTGTATATATTAGGCTTATTATGAAGCCCTTTTCATACAATAGTCTGATAAATATCAGAATCGGAATCATTTTTATTGCCTCGTAAGTAACAGGAGGTCACAGACTTGGAAATTGCTTTGGCTCGGTGCAACAGTCAGAGAGAGAGAATAAAATAAAATAAAACAGAATAAAAAAAACACTTCTAAGGAATAAATTTAAAATAAAAATTATTATAGAGTTACGATTACTATATACAATATACAGTGCACATGGTGCACACATACACACAAGTGACATTATAAAGGGAAAACGGTGAGCACCGAAAAGCCGTGGCGACCGTACGATGCACCATCTTGAGATATTATGTGTAGTATGATGATATAAAAGCACATTATACAGTTTATTTTGTCATTAATAAAAGAAATTTGCCGATTACAGTCTCACTTCCACAACACCAGGTTAAAAGTGGTTAGCCATACTTCTAAGTTGGTTATTTGTGTGTATCTTTCTATTATATTATTCTTCTGTTAGTCCTCAGTGTCTGTTTCTCCTGCTGTGAAAGCTTGTACCTCTAATATTAAATACAGGAAGGATTTCTGTATTTTATTTTGTGGTATCCATGTTTTAATGTTTGTGAGTTCTTCTTTTTCAGAGACTTCTAGTAAAAAGAACTTTGACTTTCTCTGACAGCAACAAAATCACACGCCATCGTTTCTCCAGCTTCACCTCCATCCCCTCCCGCTTCACTGCAGATTTACATTATGAACTACAAACATATATATTTTCATGTTTTATTTAATCATCAGTCATGAATAGTTAGAACAGTGGGCTCTGCATCTCTGAAGACGAGGAGCAACAGCAGGAGGAGCAACAGCAACAGGAGCAGGAACAGCAGAGTCCTAGGCGTCTGGCTATGACACAGGTCTCTTCTACTGTATAGTGTGCGCTTCATAGAGAAGAACCTGGAAATGAAAAAATCTAAAACTTGTTGATTTTATTATGATTTTGTTCTTTGTGTCTGAAGTGTAAAGCGTCATGCAAAATAAGGTATTATTTACACAACTACATATTTGTCAGCAGTACTTACACTTCTAATTTAATACATTTAACTCTCTTCTGATTAGTAACAGTCTGTTGCTTTTCAAAACTGTGACTTTTCAAAAAGTGATCAAGTTCAGTTTCAGGCACCTCCTGTGTTCAACTCCATTTTACAGATGTTCCAGTTATTATTATAGATCCATGGATGTTCCAGTTATTATTATAGATCCATGGATGTTCCTCTCATCAGCAAACACACGTTATTACATTTAGGCCTGATACTAATTATTTTTAAGTGATGGACAAATGAGGGCCATAGCAAATGTATCAATCATATATAATAATAATTTATTGCATATACTGTATGTGCATTGTTTACATAAAATATCACTTTGTAAAAACGAAGGATTACTGCAAATACAATTGTTATAACAGAGAAAGTCCGTTACAAAAGTTTCATAATTTAGATTGCAAACATCAGAGGAGCTCTCTAAATGTGTCTCCGCGTTTAGACGCTCTGTTCTCGGCTTCAGTACTGCGGGACCCATCTGGACCAGAGGTCCTCACTGGATGAAATATCCGAAAATGTTCTTTTTTTATCACCAAACAGACCTCTGGTATATGACAATAGAGGGGGGTATTTCTCACCTCAAATGTAGAATTAACTTTTATGTCCTAATTACTAACTTTTACCTTCCATCATAGCCGCAGTGTCCTTCCTTTCCGCTCAGTTGAGTTGGGTTTTGGTGAACTACCGGCAACAGAGAAGCCCCACCCCAAAGCGCGCTCAAAACGCTCTCCCCTACTAGCGCCTACTATATATATATTTATATATAATATACATACATATACATGGGCGGCACGGTGGCTGAGTGGATAGCACTCTCGCCTCTCAGCAAGAAGGTCCTGGGTTCGAATCCCGGCCGGACCAGGGCCTTTCTGAGTGGAGTTTGCATGTTCTCCCCATGTCTGCGTAGGTTTCCTCCGGGTTCTCCGGTTTCCCCTACCACTAAAAATATGTACAATAGGTCTGGCATGCGCCTCCTGTTCGGCGACCCCGCTCCCATCTCTGTGTGGAGTGAGAGACAAAAAATAACAATTGTAAACCGCTTTGTGACTCTGGTCTGTGAAAGGCGGTATATAAATAAAGCTTACTTACTTACTTACTTACATGCCATGGCAACAGGGTAAAAAATAAGTTTTGGGTGTCATTGACTTTTTGAATCAAGAGGGCAAAACAGAATTATGTGCAAAATTTCACACATTTTGAAAAAACTAAATGTGATTATCCCCATGTAACTCTTTGACATAGTCTGTAGGGGGCACTCATTTCACTTTCAAATGACCAAGACCCTAGAGTTCAACAATGGATTAAAGTTGTATGTGCCAACGGGAGCTTAATTGTCTATTGTCAAAAATGGGGGGAAAAAGTCACATTTTTCCGCTCCGCTGCTTGAACAACGTGTAACTGATCAAAATCCTGTGAAATCAAAATGATGGTACATGTGTTTAGACAATGTGGAGCAATTTTGAGGCAAATTGATGAAAAGGCAGAGGAGGAGATGACCGACGTGTGTAAAAGATCTACAACAAAGTTGACCTTGGACCTCTTCCCATAGGCACAATGTAAACTGACTTTTGTAGGGTGCGTTGTTGCTGCATTTTTTTAGTCCCATTTTTGCCGTTTCTGAATTTTTCATGCATGTTCAGGGGGTCAAATTTAGATTCAAAGTGCAGAATCATTTTTTGAATGTCTTTGAGCAAAAACAATATAGGTTTCAATGGCACCTGATACATCATTTTAAAGCGTTTGAGTTTACGCACCCAACCGTCACGTTTGGCATGCAGTGCCATCTTGATCATTGAATGTCTTGTGGCTGCCAACCAATGCTTAAAATTATAAATAATGCATTAGTACATTTAGGAGATATTTCACAGACTGTTGACAGTTTTCCCTTATTTCTCATCCCTGCTCTCAAACTACAGCTTTAAAAAATATTTATATGCACATCGACATTTTCCAACATGGCCGCAATCCCTTCGCCTCAAGATTAACATGTTTTTGCTATTGTTATTACAACTGAAGTGTAGTTTATTTATGCTGTATAAATGTTATATTTTATTATTTATGTTGTTAAACCTACTCTTATAATGATAAAATATCTCAAACAAAATGACTACACTGTAAATAAAAGTGTATGTGCAGTGTCCTATTTTATGAATGGTTAGACAAACATGTTGTTGTACCAGAAATGGACAGTGGGTGTTTCCCCCCCCCCCCCGCGAATGGCAAATAAATGAATCTGATGACTCTGATCTGAATCTGGATGGGGGGTTGTGGGGCCTGGTTGGATGTTTGCGGGATTTGTCCATCCATCCATTTTCTTCCCCTTCATCCATTTCTGGGTCGGGGGGTGGCAGTCAGAGCTTCACCCATTACACATAGCACCAAAAATCAGGCTCAGGATTTTTTTTTTTCACTTTAAGCCCTTTCTACAGCTGCAGGTAACAGTGATATATTCTCTTTCAGAAACCTGATCGCTTTTTCAGAGCATGGCTCTGACCCATATGTCCGTCTGTATCTGCTGCCGGACAAACGTCGATCAGGACGACGGAAAACAAGCACCTTCAAGAAGAACCAGAACCCTGTGTACGACCAAACGTGAGTGTAGTCAACACCTGAGACCAGAGGGAGACCAGAGGGAGACCAGAGGGAGACCAGAGGGAGACCAGAGGGAGACCAGAGGGAGACCAGAGGGAGACCAGAGGGAGACCAGAGGGAGACCAGAGGGAGACCAAAGGGAGACCAGAGGGAGACCAGAGGGAGACCAGAGGGAGACCAGAGGGAGGCCAGAGGGAGGCCAGAGGGAGGCCAGAGGGAGGCCAGAGGGAGGCCAGAGGGAGGCCAGAGGGAGGCCAGAGGGAGGCCAGAGTGAGGCCAGAGTGAGGCCAGAGTGAGGCCAGAGTGAGGCCAGAGTGAGGCCAGAGTGAGGCCAGAGTGAGGCCAGAGTGAGGCCAGAGTGAAACAGTATTGTCCCTTGTGTGTTTTATATACATATATGGCTTATATGTGGATTTTCAAAGACAATATGATTCTGTTATTTGGATAGATTAGCGCATCTGTGGTATGTAAGAGCCTGTATGTTATTTTGAGGAGACTCCAGGAAGAATAGCCATTGCGTCTCAGTGGCTAATGGGGAGCTTATTCAACTAAACTAAACTGTTATTGTATAGACTTCACACACAACACACGCACACCAAAAGAATAATCGCAGGAAGCTTTTACAACATTATACGACATCTAGCTAACCATTTAAACATACAGACACTCAATTGGAGCCTCGTGGTTAGCCGGCACGGTGGCTGAGTGGATAGCACTCTGGCCTCTCAGCAAGAAGGTCCTGGGTTCAAATCCTGGTCGGAACAGGGCCTTCCTGATTGGAGTTTGCCTGTTCTCCCTGTGTTTCCTCCGGGTACTCCGGTTTCCCCTACCACTAAACCAATGTACAATAGGTCTGGCATGCGCCTCCTGTACTGGCAACCCCGCTCCCATCGCTGTGTGGAGTGAGAGGATAAATGCCCAAAAATAACAATTGAAAACCGCTTTGTGACTCTGGTCTGTGAAAGGTGATATATAAATAACGATTACCTACTTACTTAGCCGTTGGCATACAATGAATCTGGAGGAGCATATCCACATCTGCTTCTTGTAGCTGCTCATATGCGAACCAAAGTTCCGGGAAAGGATTTTCCTCTGTAGGCTTTTTTATCTAGTCATACGAGCAAGACAACTTCTTCAACTTTAAAGCTGCTAGCCACAGCCTGGACTCATAGTTAGCCGTTAGCTTCTCATATAGAAAACTCATGATCATAAAGGCGCGTTCAGACCGCCAACTCTGGAACGCTGACGCCTCGAGCACCAGACGCACATTATTTAATTTTCAGACGCAGGGGTGTTCAGACCAGAACAGAGTAGCGGGCGAACTTTGATGCTAACGGTGTTAAGCTAGCAGCTTTTTGTGTAAAGTTCTTCTCCAATAATGCAGCTCTGCAGAGTCTCTGTATCCAGAGACCTTCCAGAGACTTTATATAACAGCAGAATGTGTTCACGGGGGTGCGCCATAAGTTTAATTTATTATTAAACGGTACTTCCACATCGGCGAACATGCTCGAAGCAGTTGTATACAGTCACATGAGAACGCAAATGTTCACAAGCACAGAGTCCCCCATTGTCAACCCTTTTTTAGTCCTGGTGTAGCTCCGGTTTTGGCTGTTTACGAGGATTTTCAGTGTGCTCGCTCAGACCACTAATGTCCCCGTGACCACTTCGGCTGCGGCTTTCCAATTGGTCGCTGCACGAGCGTCCCGAGGAAACGGTCAGGAATACTTATCTCTTGCGTGCCTCGATTTTCCGCTCCTGCACCTCTGCCGCGCTTTGCCGCGCAGTCCGTGCTTCTTTATTGCACAGTTTGTGCGTGCATCCCGAGACGCACATGCAGTTCCATGCTCGAACGCACGTCACTATTGACTTTGCATTGAAAGTCGACGCAACGCTAAGCGCTAACCGGAAGTCAAATACAGCACAGATGTTCAATGGCTGCACCCATGGTTCCCACCAAAAAACTTGTCAATATTCTGCAATAACGTTCCCTCCCAAACACGTTCATTATTGCATATTTACTCATCAATGACATTGCATTGCAGAAGCAAAAACATACTCACACAAGTGTCTGTTTGCCGCACAGAGGTTATTGTCAAGGTATCTGTTTCTTCATTGGAGCTGGTTTTGTTCAGTCTCTGTGTATGCCGCGCGAGCTCCTCAGAACATTCCACAGTGCACTGACAGATTAGAAATAATGTAAATGCTTTGAATGGTGATAGATCTACAGTATTTTTCTCTGATTATTCACATGCTACTACGCTCAGGGAAAGCAAAAAACGCGTTTCACACTGGCTACAGCCTATATGGCTTCACTGACTTTTAGAAAGTGAACGTAACACAGAGCCTGGATTTGGCGCTGAGGAAGACAGCCAATCACTGCAGAGAGAGGAACAGGTCAGTGCTGCTGCTGCTTTGGAAGTGAGGAGGAGGCATGGCAAGCAAAAGCAAAAACTGAAGACTTTGGTTTTAATTTTGGCAGGGGCATTTCAGTCCTCGCCAAATATTGGTGGGGACATGTCCCCAAGCAAACCCACGCCCATGGTTCTGGGCATCAGTATTTGAATGTTTTTGCTGTTTGTTGATACATGAGGGATCTGCTGCTGTCTCTGCAGGTTTGAGTTCAGCGTGTCGGTCGTAGAGCTGCACAGACGCACTCTGGATGTGGCTGTGAAGAACGGAGGAGGCCTGCTGTCCAAACACAAGGGTCTTCTGGGAAAGGTGACACAAACACACACCATAACAGAGACAGTTTAGTCAGATTAGCGGCTGAACCTGAAGGCATGGTTCCAAAGAGCATCATGAACGCTAAGAAACACACCACAGAGGTCATGGATCAAGTACTACAGCAGAGGTGGCCAACCAGTCAGAGCCCAAGAGCCAATTATTTTTACTGTGTTACTGAAAAGAGCCACATCATACAAATGGGCACACATAAACATCAACCCATCCCTTACACACACACACTCACACACACACCCCATTCCTTATACCAGTGTTTTTCAACCTTTTTTGAGCCAAGGCACCCTTTTTTCATTGAAAAAGTCTCACGGCAAACCACCAGGAGAAATTGTAAAAATATATACCCTGTAACCTATATTCACAATATAAAGTCATTCTCATCAAAGTGCTTAAATAGACACCCAGGCCTTGACATTAGGCTTTGTTTAATATGTCTCAATACAATGAGTTAACAAGAGTTTGGGAATAAAGTGGCACTAACTGTGCGGAAAATAAAGAAATCCACTCACAGCCCAAAAAGTCAAATAATGACACACAGGGCTCTAAGTATGCAAAATAATAATAATAATAATTAAAAAAAGGCCTGTTGTGTGTTCTGTTTGATTTGTTCACAACATGTTACTTTTGAGCACAAATAACATGCATTGTTCATGCATGGGGAAAAAGGTGTCCGAGCTTTAATTTCTGGAGAAGACACGGGAGAGAGCTGGTCCTGAAAACGAGTCCACGGTTCTGACCACGCGTCTATGGTCCGCGCTCAGTATCACGTTACGGATGTGCGTTCGCTGAGCTGTTGACAAAGCGGCCACAGAGCTGAGGATTTTAATCCTGTTCAGAAATGGCAGAATTCTTTTTCAAAAACGTCTCAATCACTTTCACTTCGCATGAGCCACAGCCTCTGCCCCTCTCTCCCCCCGCTACCTATTACATTTGTTGGTTGCGTCCAATTCTTACGTTTCTCGCCACAATGCTTCCCGCTACATCCGGTGGTCGCATCCAATTCCTACGTTTCAAAGTACTTAGCTATCTGCTGCCACCTACTGATATGAAAAAGTATTACGTGGTTACTCCACAGTTCAAAACAAGTCAGCACTCGCCGACGGCTGATGCGTTTATTTTTAGACAAAGTAGGCGAATTTCTCACGGCACACCAGAAATTATCATACGGCCCACTAGTGTCCCGCAGCACAGTGGTTAAAAAACACTGCCTTATACACACACGCATGCACGCACACACACCTCTGCTCAGGCAGATTTATTGTAAATGTCACACGCCAACATGATAATGACAGAAATTGACTCCTACAGTACTATAGCCAAAACTGTGATATTGTGCAGTGTGGTTGGTTGTACTAACAGGCAAGGACATAAGCCAAATGTGTCATTTTATCGGATACCTGCTCCCGATGAAGACTACGATGGCCAGCGGCAATCAACCAAAAGGACTGGGAAGCATCCAAGCACTCCCTACTTTGCAGTGAACACTTTTTACAAGATAAATCAATCACAATTTTTTATTTATTTTCTTCCCATTAATTTTTTTTGAGGACAATGACAAGTCAAATGTGTGTTCTTAGTACTGTCCTGTTTTTGCGCTGCAAGATTGAAATTTCCTCACTGTGGCACGAATAAAGGATCTCTTATCTTAGACGTCAGTTGCGTTTTTCACCATTTTCCTCTCCGTCGTTATGTATCATGTTTAGCTGTAGACAGAAAATCCACAGAAAAGCGGACTATTGCTAATGCTACCATCAAAATGTACATTTAAATCTGCTCCAGTGTAGGGGGATGCATTGTTAACGACATAACGATAAAGATCATGTGGGGTGAATTCGGGGCAAAATTCTGTGGCGCGCTACCTCCACAAACACCTTCTGGTTGCACCATCCAGCTCATGCTGGTGTCCTCTCTTCAAAGTGAGGAAAGAGTTGACCGGCTCCAGCGACCAAGGAAACGTTGTCCGTTCGGACGTCTTTGTGGGTCAAGGCAACGTGTTGCTTATGTTTTTCGCAACAGCTGATAGCTGAAGAGTGATTGACAGCGTCTCTGACCAATTAGAATTGACGTTCACGGACGTCCGATTGTGTTGGTATCTACTCGGTATCTACCTATCTCACATAGGGAATGAATGGCAGCGCCACCACCGAGGCATTTTTGATGCTTGTCATGTGAAAGCCTGAGAGCCACATGGAACCAGCCAAAGAGCCGCATGAATCAGAATCAGAATCAGAATCATTTTTATTGCCACGTAAGTAACAGGAGGTCACAGACTTGGAAATTGCTTTGGCTCAGTGCAACAGTCACAAAGAGATAATAAAAATAAGAATAAAAAACACTTCTAAAGAATAAATATAAATTTAAAATAGAGTTACAGTTACTATTTACAATATACAAGTGCACATGGTGCACACAATGTAAGGTGACAGCAGTACAGTGAAGTAAAGTGACGTATGATGGGCAGTAAAGTGACTTTATAAAGGGCGGGGGGACAGGTTAAGAAGTGTTCAAGAGTCCAACAGCAGAGGGGAAGAAACTGTTCTTGTGGCGGGAGGTTCTAGTCCTGATGGACCGCAGTCTCCTGCCTGAGGGGAGTGGTTGGAATAGTCCATGTGCAGGGTGAGAGGGGTCGGCTGTGATACGACCAGCCCGGCCTCGAGCTCGGCGACGTATAGGTCCTGCAGCGATGGAAGGCTGCGGCCGATCACTTCCTCTGCAGAGCGCACAATGCGCTGTAGTCTCTGTTTGTCCCTGACTGTGGCTCCAGCGAACCACACGGTGATGGAGGAGGTGAGGATGGACTCGATGATGGCCGTGTAGAACTGCACCAACATCTGTGCAGGCAGCTTGGCTTTCCTGAGCTGCCGCAGGAAGTACATCCTCTGCTGGGCCTTCTTGATGAGGGAGCTGATGGTCGGCTCCCACTTGAGGTCCTGGGTGATGGTGGTGCCCAGGAAACGGAAGGACTCCACAGAGGTGATGGGGGAGTCCATCACGGAGGGTGGGGGCGGGGGGACAGTGCGCTTCCTGAAGTCCACAATCATCTCCACTGTCTTCTGGGCGTTCAGCTCCAGGTTGTTACCACTGCACCAGGACACCAGCCGGTCCACCTCCCTCCTGTAGGCGGACTCATCGTTGTTGGAGATGAGTCCAATGAGGGTGGTGTCGTCCGCGAACTTGATCAGCTTCACAGAGTCGTGGCTGGAGGTGCAGTGGTTGGTGTACAGGGAGAAGAGCAGGGGAGAAAGAACACAGCCCTGTGGGGCTCCTGTATTTATAATTTGAGAGTCCGAGACATTCTTCCCCAGACGCACTCGCTGCTTCCTGTCCGTCAGGAAGTCAGTGATCCACCTGCAGGTGGAATCGGGCACGTTGAGCTGGGAGAGCTTGTCCTGGAGCAGGGATGGCAGGATTGTGTTGAAGGCAGAGCTGAAGTCCACGAACAGGACCCTGGCGTAGGTCCCCGGGGAGTCCAGGTGCTGTAGGATGTGGTGGAGGGCCAGGTTAATGACGTCGTCTACAGATCTGTTGGCTCTGTAGGCGAACTGCAGGGGGTCCAGGAGGGGGGAGGTGAGGGACTTGAGATGGGAGAGAACCAGGCGTTCAAATGACTTCATGACGACAGACGTAAGTGCTACAGGTCTGTAGTCATTGAGTCCTGTGATCCTGGGCTTCTTCGGGACGGGGACAATGATGGAGGATTTGAAGCAGGCCGGGACATGGCAGGACTGCAGAGAGGTGTTGAAAATGTCAGTGAACACAGGAGTAAGCTCACTGGCGCAGTATCTCAGAGTGGCCGGAGACACGTCGTCCGGGCCTGGAGCTTTGCGGGGGTGCAGCCAAAAGAAGAGTTGTTTAATCTCTTTAGAGGCTATTGTTAGGCTGGGGCAGGGCTGATGGGTGGGTCGTTAGAGTAGTGGGGGGTGGGGGAGGGAGAGGTGTTGGGGCAGCATCAAAGCGACTGAAAAATAAGTTCAGTTCGTCAGCTAGCTTGTGGTCGTCAGCACAGGGGGGGGCTTTGGGTTTGTAGTTGGTGATCTCCCGTAGGCCCCTCCAGACAGAAGCAGTATCGTTGTTACCAAACTGCTCCTGTAGTCGTTCTCTGTGCGGGACTTGGCTGCTTTCAGTTCTTTCCTGAACTGATATTTAGCTGCTTTGTAGCTGCTGCGGTCCCCCTCCCTGAAAGCAGACTCCTTTGCTTTCCTGAGCTGCCGGAGTTTAGCAGTGAACCAGGGTTTGTCATTGTTATAGATGACCCTGGTCCTTGTTGGAATGATGCTATCCTCGCAGAAGTGAATGTATGACGACACAGTGCCTGTGTATTCATCCAAACTATCTGTGGCAGCTCTGAAAAGGTCCCAGTCTGTAGATTCCATGCATGCGCGCAGCTCTTCCACAGCTTCATCAGACCACACTGGAGCTCCTCACTGCAGGTTTCGAGAGCTTTAGTCTCTGTCTGTAAGCAGGAACCAGATGTATCATGGAGTGATCTGAGAAGCCGAGGGCTGGCTTGGGAACAGCGCGAAAAGCTCCGCGCACGGTGGTGTAACAGTGATCCAGAGTGTTCTCTCTGGTCGGGCATTTGATAAACTGTATGTATTTGGGTAATTCCTGGCTCAAGTTTCCCTTATTAAAATCCCCCAGGATAATAATCAGAGAGTCCGGGTATAAGCGTTCCATACACAGTACTTGCTCTGCGAGTGCGCGCTGAGCCTCGCGCGCGTCCGCGCATGGCGGTATGTAAACAGAGGCAAGAATGAATGAAACTATTTCACGAGGGGAGTAAAATGGTTTACAATGGATGGAAAGATATTCCAGAGCAGGAGAACAGTGCTTGGAGATCACTGTCACATCGTTACACCAGTTCTGTATTGACGTAGTGTCAGGGATGAAGCAGACAGAGACGGATCGTGGTGCGCCAAACTCTGGAAGTTTATTTAAGTTTCTCTCAAGTTCCAGTGGTTTCAATTGTTTCTTTCTCTCAGACAGAATAAAGGCAGTACACAGTTTATATAGTC